ATCTGCGACGTCTTCTGTTGCCTCCTCCACTCGCTCTTGAGCATTGCTGTCCTCTGCTACTTCAGTTGGACTAGGGCGAGATGTCTCCATGATTTCTCTGGCATGTGCTCTCTCTGAGCGCGTACGCGCCGCACGCAAGAGAGCGAGGTTTAGCCTGACGAGCTTCCTCGGCCACACGCTCTTGCTCTGCCATCTTCGCCTTGATCTGGGCAGTCTTGTGCGTGCGTGCCATCCTCGGTGCGTGTGGGGGGGGCTGCCACGTGTCTCCCTAACTGGTGGAAATGGAATCACCGGAATATATTTTCGCGTAGTACCTTTAGTACGTACAGGTATCTCGGGACCAATTAACACGAAGTGGCTCGAGTCACTCACACAGTGTAGCCCTAACATTCGCTTAAGTACGAGCTACTCGGTACCTCTAACATTGATCTTATTTTAATCATGGAGACTATGTAAATAATTCTGGCCTGCAACGGTTTCTTGAAGAACTAGAATAAGGTTTCTAAAAGAATATTTTTGGCGATAATTTGGATAAATTAGATACCAAGAGATGGATCTAGTCAATGAAAACGCCTCATTTCAAGACGAGGAAACCCCTCGACAGGAAGAAGTAGAAGAAGACGGTGATGCAGAGGTGACACCAAATGACGGTGCAGAGGACACCATTACCATTATGGCTCATGTGCGGGACAAAATTATCCCCATCCACTGCGGCTTTGGTACTCAGCAAGTGATCTGGTTAGGCCATGTGGCTATCGCTCGGTATGATGAAGACGGCGGCACGAAGGGCTGGATGGAATTGGGTATTCCCACCAAGATCATCAAGGATGGCAAGCTTGAGCTCTGCCTCACAGATGTCATCTGCGACGTATTACAAGATCGGAGCCACGTGTACATCTCGACATCGCTAGGCTAACAGCAGACAACGAAGGCAATCCATTATACTACAAAAACGTACACTTCGGTATTCATAATGATCTCTAGGCTGAGAGAGTGGCTGCGTTTGCCCCTCCCTTGTCAGGAAACGTTGGTGTACATACGATACGATAGTCGACTGGGCTAGACGGACCTCGTAGCGCACCTTCTTCCAGATGCACCACGGAGCCACTGTTGCTACTGCTATTACTGCTTTTGTCACTGCCTAGTCGGCCTCCATTGCTGGACATTGCATCAGAACCGTTAGTGTACACAGCTGCCACTGACCGCTGGTTGCTCGATTTCGAGTACTCCGACGACGTTCGCGGAGACGGAGTCAGTGGAGCGAGGGATCGACGAAGATGAGGCGGTAGAGTCTCTAATGCTGTTGGGTGCACCATGGGTATTGTGCCCGGGATCTCCATCACCAAGCCCCCTGACAGTCTTGAACTACAGCAACTAGCGCTATCCCACGAGCGAGCAGAGACGGCACGAACGGCTACGGCGTTTTTCGCTGTGGCATCTAGAGGCGGTGTGCACGGGGAGTTTGCCATCCAGTTGCCACCTACGTCCGGCGACATGATGAGGTTGGCGAAGGATTCTAGCCGTGTTGACGGCTGGCTGGTGAACGTGGCTCCGCTCCCATCCAGAGAAGCGAGCATAGTACTCAACGTCCGGTTGGACTCGACCAATTGAGCGTTGCGATGGTTCTGTATCTGTAGTTGGGTGAAGGATACGCTGTCGTGGTGGTCGCGTGTGGGTCTGGCTGCAGCGTCGTAGATGAGCTCTTTGATCACGCGCTGCTGGAATCGATCCGCGTACTGTCGCGGATTCACCACCGAGATGCCGTGTCGATCTTGCATCAACAAGTAAACACGCACAAAGTGTTCGACACGTTTGCGAAAGTTCCATTGCTGGAGGATATCGATGAGACCGAGGTAGTACAGTCCCGGTCCGTGCACCTCGTCCACGCTCATTCCTCCGTGTGCAAAAGGGTGGACCGATTTCTTGCTAGTGGACGAGCAATAACAACCCCGACCTGTCCCGTATTGATTGCCACCGCTGCTACTTCGATTGCGGATGAAGCTGGAGTTGGTGCTGTACGACGACTCGCTGCTGTTGCTTCGGCCACTGCGCGTGGAGACGCGAAACTGGCTGCTTATACTGCAACTAGAATCGTGACGAGCCAGTTTGGGCGAGTCGAAGCTGTCGGCGGAGGAATAATGCGAGACGTTGAAGCTGCGGTGGTGAATGCCTACGAGCAGACTGTAGTCGATACAGTTGATACTACAGAGAAACTCCGAGTCGGCTGTCAGTTGCACGGCAACTGCACGCGCGGTGGAGTACGGCAAGGCCATGTGTCGATTCCAGTTGAGATCTTTGCCCACTTGGTCGTACTGGTGGTTCATGTTCCCCTCTCCTCGGACGTTGCAACGCTGGTCGTGACTCCCTCCGACTGTGTACTCGGCGTTGCAGAACTTGCACGTGGCGACTGTACCCGTGGGCTTTCGACCCTCCAGTCGACCCACCCACGAGCCTTTCAAGTCGAAGCGTTCGTGGATCTGCAGCGACGTGGCGAACACGCTCTGCATGACGACGAAGAAGACCGTCTTGCCGTACATGGTGAGTCCGTGGCAGCCGAAAAAGCGCGTCATGAACGTGTCCGAGTTCCTCTTCATGAAGGTGTAATAGTTTGGTAAAATACTTAAGAAAAAGTTGAGTTCTTCATTCGTCAGCGTCTTGACCACGTACTTGCGGTCTTCAGTGAAGTAGAAGAAGGCGCCGCTTTTGCCTTCACTCACTCGTTCCTTGGTCGTTTGCTGTAATGAGTTACGGTAACTAGCGCTCGAGACTTTAGCCTCCTCTCGAAGACGACGGAAAACATGAGGAGCGAAGTCCTTGAACACCACACCTTCAGTGCGTGGGCCATTCGAGCGGCTGTCGTTGCGATTCTCCAGAATCAGCTCTTCAATCTGCGTGTAGCTCTCTTTTCGATCGCAGTAGTCGCCCTGACCCGAAGAACTGCCCACAATTCCCTCTTCGAGCGAGGAATCCGACACCGAGATGGATCGTAGCGACGACTCGGCCGATGCGCGTGCTTGGTGTTCGGCCCGATCGACACTCTGGCAGATTCCTTTCGTGGTGTTCGTGAGGATTTCAAGGCGCAGTGCCCAATTGATGTTGTCGTCCCAGTTGCCGTCTTGTGGAGGGAGGTTGACTGTCCCGTTCCTACGAAGCTGCTCGATGATGCGGAGGATATTTGACGTCCGTGTCCAGATAAGAGCATGCACCATTCCCTTCGCGAGTAGAAGACACGACAAGAGATGCCACACACGACACTTCATGCCGCCTTTACTGTCCGAACTCGAGTGTGGCAGCAGACTGAACACCGCATACGTCGATAGCACCAACGTCCAATAGCCAAAGTAGCAGCCCACGTAGTACTTGAGATGTCTCTGGATCCGTTTCCGAGTCCGGAACGTGTCCGGAAGACCCCTGACGAATGTGTTCCACGTCCGTACAATGGCGATCAGTGACGTGCAGTACACCACGACGATGTACAGCGCGAAGAACACCCCAGCAGTGAGTGTACCATTGGAAGCCTTGTGCCCGTCAGTGTCGTCGTGTGCGTGACTGAGGATCTCGCCGCTGGAACTGAGCCAACAGAAGCTGAATAGAGCGTACTGAGTGTCAAAGTGCGATATCACAGCACAGATCAAGCTCCAAAGGCCTCCAAAGATGTGGTACTTGGTCATCTGCCCTTTAGAAGCAGAGAACGGGTTCTTTAACGCTAAAAGGAGATCGATAGCGAAGATCAACATGTACGTCTCTTGGCCTGTGAGGAAGAAGTCCACTATGATGCCAATGTCTGTGCATCTCACCGAGTCGGAAGCCTGGTCCAGCAAGTAGAGGAACTGGTAGATGGCGCCGTACAAACTCATCCCGAACATGATTCCTGCTGGATGCTGTCGCAGTGCCAGTACGCGCCAGTAAGTCCCCACGACGTAGAAGCAGCCGATCAACGAAGCCACCGACGTAATTACTGGAAGCAACATACTCCCCTTGGGGCAGAGCGTTCCTTCTAGAGACAGGGCGTCACCATGAGCCATTTTTGAAGCTGTAGTAAGGGGTTTGTTCAACCCCAGACTGAGGACTTCCTGTTTGAAAGGGTGGAAGACAATCACGACAGACACCAAGTGATACAGACGACAAAATATGGGGATTGCAGTTGGGGGTACCCTGGAAGGAGGGAGACAAACGGTTAGCAAGAATGCCGTCATTTTGGTGCGACAGGCACGTACCAGAGAGCCAAAGCCTCGGGTGCGGGGCGCGTCGCAAAGCTCTCCGTTTGCGTCTCAGCGGCTCCTTTCAAGTGTTTCTTTTTCCGACCAAACGGGAGCGGCCGCCCAGAGCGCACGAAATGGCGTTCGTTGCAGCACTTTCCGAAAGAACGAGCAACGGTTACGACGCTTTCCTTCTACCGTTTGCTTTTTCAGCGTCGCGATGCACTTTTGAGCGAGTTACGCTGCCCACTGACTATCTCCGACACGTTTCAACTGGCAAAACGAGGGGACACGCAGCATAGAGATCGCTCTCTTAGGTTAGTTGAAGCCTGCATTCGTTGACCCACACCGGCGTTTGCCCGGTTGGTTGCAGAGACCCCCCCCCCCAGTGGAAGCCTCAGACAGTGGGTTCACAGCCCAAGTCTCACGTAGCATTCGAGTTGAAGTCGATAGGGCCACGCCCAGTCTCGTCGTGACGATCTACAAGTTCCCCTAGCGTTCCTCAAAAGTTGCCGTTTCGCTTCGCTTCTGTGATTGACTTCGGGCCTGCAGATTCTACCTGCACTTTCAGCTGACATCGCCTTTCACGCTGCCATTTTGCGCTGATATCTATCAAGCATCTTCCACGCGTGAGGAGTTTAGTCGAGCTTGGAACCAGCGTCCCTCACTAACTTGACTCCACGCCAGGATCACTTAGAGAAACTCATATACACACGCGTACACACATTCACATGAATCGCTGGAAGCGTAAACCGGTTCACGAACCGAGCGAGGCGAAGTAATACATGTACTCTCACTGAACTCATCACCCGGTTCTAAAAGTAGCGCTCCGTCTTCCACTCTCAACCTGAGTACAAGTCCAGCGTCACGCTGACGTGGCATCCACAATGAATGGTGACAAGATATCCAAACTCGGCATCGCACATAGAGCCACTCCACCAACGTTGCGCCATGCAGCACTGCCTAGCAGCGGTTTCAATACACAAGTCTACGCGGCCCCGAGAGTTGCGCACTCTACGCAACGACCACTCTTGTGACGATGAAATCGGAAAGAGGACAATGAGCCGCAGCGCGGAGCGACCGCAGACGCAGAGGTCTCTCTTGTCCTGTTCCTCATGGCCAAGCGTGCCCTCCTATTATTCGTGCTAGGTTGCGCAAGTCGCCACCCCCAGTACTACTGGGCCAGTAACAGCATCGTTGCTGCGAAGGACTCAGTTGTGGAGATCTCCACTTGTAGATCCTAGCACCGCAACACCGGTGTATGACGCTTTCTTGTCAGAGGCTGCGAGTGACTTGGCAAGCGCTTGGAAACGCGGCCTCGTCACTCCAGCGCTGCTACGCTTCTCTATGCTACCTCATCCAGTATGGACCGCCGGTCAAACTTCGGCTATTAACGCGAGTCGCTGAGCCAGATCCATCTGCTCGAAGTTGGTGCATGCGACGCAATATCCTTGTTGAAGTGGCGACATCTGATTACTGCCATTTTGGGTCAGTCTATTCGGACTATATTACATTTGTGCGTCCAATGTGATGGGGCAAGACTTGTGAGCCTGAACCTGAACCTGCCGATTTTTCGCCTAACCTCAACGTTATGGCGGAGTGAATACTCACCGACAGAGCCTATCTCGTAGCCTGTGCACTTGTCCTTCCAATCATCGAATGCGCATTTGCTGCTTGGGGTAGATGGCCAAATCTTGCGTGATTCAATCATCAACACCATGCGCTATTTAATGTTTGCTTCTTTTCAGCATAAATAAAAAGCAAACCACTTCAATCATTCCATCACATCAAGCTGCGAAAAAGAAAAGCAACAGCGCGATCTTTCCTCAGATTCGAATTTGCCAAGTCGAGCACAAGACCAACACTCCTGCACCATGACTACCCTCAAGATCGTCGTTTCCGGCGCCGCCGGCCAAATTGCGTACTCGTTGCTGCCTCTCAGTACGTCCGTCTCCTTCCCTCTTGTGTCTTCTCCATACCCTAACGTCTCACCATGTTGCAGTCTGCATCGGCCACGTCTTCGGCCCCAACCAGCGCGTGGAGCTGCGCCTGCTGGACATCGAACCCGCCCAGGAAGCGCTTGAGGGCGTCAAGATGGAGCTCCAGGACTGTGCCTTCAACCTAGTGGACGCTATCATCCCCACAGCCGATCTGGAGACTGCTTTCAAGGACGCGGACGTCGCAATCCTCGTGGGCGGCTTCCCGCGCAAGCAAGGCATGCAGCGCAAGGATCTGATTGAGAAGAATGTAGCCATTTTTAAGGCTCAGGGAGCTGCTATCGACCAGTTCGCCAGTCGCGACGTTAAGGTGCTTGTTGTGGCCAATCCAGCCAATACGAACTGCCTCATTGCCATGGAGAACGCACCCAGCATCCCGCGGCGCAATTTCTCGGCACTGACGCGTCTGGACCATGAGCGTTTGCGCTCGTTCCTAGTGGAGAAGGTCAACGAGACCCAAAGCCCGAAAGTTACGTCGAAGGACGTCAACAAGGTCGTGATCTGGGGCAATCACTCGAGCACGCAAGTGCCCGACGTCACGAACGCAGAAGTGAAGGGCCAGCCGCTTGATAAGATCGTCTCGGACAAGGATTGGGCTGAGAAGAAGCTCGTCAAGGACGTGCAGGAGCGCGGTGCAGCCATCATTAAGGCTCGCAAGCTCTCGAGCGCCATGTCGGCTGCCGCCGCTATCGGCGCCCACCTGCGCGACTGGTTCAATGGCTCCAAGGACGGCGAGCTCGTGTCTATGGCCATTTGCTCGGACGGCAACAAGTACGGTGTGCCCGAGGGGCTCATTTACTCGTTCCCAGTCAAGTGCGCGGGCAACGGCGCGTACGAGGTGGTGAACGGTCTTCCCATCTCGCCGCGTATCGACGCAATGATGAAAGCCACTGCGCAGGAGCTGACAGAGGAGAAGGCCGACGCTGTGGAGATCCTGTCGCGCCAGTGAGCAGTATTCAGCTAATAGCTGGACGATGGCAACGTCGTCTACACCCCATTCGATTTTTTTCTCCCATTATGAGCTGCTTCAATCGTTTATTTGACCATCTAAACCAATTAATTTCTTGTTATTACGATTTCTTATTGAAAAAAAGATTGTGCCGCATTTTTGGTAGTCGTCCCGTGCAAAACCGACGGTTGGGCAATTTGTCATTTCGCGATGATGTTGCCTTTGGCAACAAAGATGACGACAGTGATGCAGCGCATCAAGGACGAACGACTGACAGCTGCGCAAGAACGTGAAAGTCGCGTGGTCTTTGAGTTAGCAGCAGAAGGCTCTAAGGACATGACTGCGAAGCAGCTTAAATTGTGTCTGCGAGCGTTGGGCTTCAGTGTGACAAAAGGAGAAGTGCAAGCGCTCGTGTACGAGTTCGACTACACGGATGCAAACACCATCCGTCTTGCCGATTTTCAAAAGATCCTCTTATCCAAGGTCGGTGGTCTACATTCGCTTTGGATAGCTTACAAAAGCTAAATAGCAATGTTGTTAATGTATGGCAACAGATACTGGACACCTGTGAACGAGACACATTCGAGCAGGCGTTCAGGTACAAGTTTTCAGCATAGCTCGGTTGTAAACTTAAGGTTGCATCTGCTTTATGGCTTGGTGTTGCAGATCCATGACAAGTGAGACCGAGGTTTCAATCTGCCAGCTTTCGTCAAATATCCACGCCACAGAGCACCTCGATGATGCAAGTGCAAAGCCAAATGAAGAAAAGATCGACGGCAAGGTACTTCGCCAACAAATGGCGTTGCAGTATTACGCCGACGAGGAAGTTGAGGCAGTACAAGCTTTTCTTGATGATGCAACGGAGCTACGAGTGTCTAAAGAAGCACTAGCGGCCTTTCTGCGGGTAAAGTAGGCGCTTTACTGTAGTGCAATGTTGCCGAAAATAATGGGGAGAGAACTCGTTGATACGCACGAATAAATAATGCATTTGCCGTCGTCTCGCCACCTACGCAATTCTACTTGCTCTGAAGCTTCGCCTCGGCCTTGACTCGAATGATTTTGGAAGCGATCTCGCCAAACCGAACCAGCGTATCGTACTGCGATCGCGTGATATCCATGGCGGTACTGTGCACACAGCAAATGGAGCCGACCATGATCCCGTCCGGACCCAGGATCGGGATACCGCAGTAGTATTTCACACCTTGACGCGTCACCGGGTTCAGATTGTAGAAACGGACGTCAGCCTCCGGGTGGCGGATGATGAACGGAGCATCGCCCATGAGTAAATGCTGGCAGAAGGTGTGTTCGCGAGGCAACATGGCGTGCACGAAGTCTCGAATCGTGCAGCTCAGAACCAACTGGTGCGTCTCGCCGACGATCGTGATCATCGTACAGAAGAATCCCAACTCTTTGCTCAGGAACGAGCAGATGATGTCCAGTTCCGGCATCGGCTCCTTCAGGTCCATGAGGCCAAATCTTTCGATACACTCGAGTCGAGCTACTTCGTTCTCTGGAAGTGGGGCGGACGGCGACGCGCTGTCCATCGGGTGCAGTGGATAGTTGCGTTGCTGGGCGTTCGACAGCACACACTTTTTCGAAGCTGGCGCCTCACGAGTACGGCGATCGAAGTATTCCTCCACAGCTGACATGTACTGGTCATTGTCGGCATTCTCGTCGCTGTAGGCGCTTTCAGTAGAAGCATCCGACGACTCAAGCAGCATCCTGATCAAATACACGGCTGCGTTTCTCGTGGTTTCAATGGCCAGTTCTTCGCGTAGACTTTGACCCAGCGACTGGAACGATTCCGGGTCCTCGACGATCTCTACCGGGCCACGACGCACGTGAGAGAAATTACAGCGATCGACCCACTCGAGACAGCGCATACAGACGACCATGGCCGCGACGTGTCCGTTGTTCGTCTCCACGCTCTCGCGTGTCCAACACGCCGTGCAGACGTTGTACGCGCAGAGCTGGCACCGACGAGAGGACCGCATGAACGAGCTGAGCCGGATGCCTTTCGTGCACGAGATACAGCGTGAGTTTTGAGCTTCAACTTTCGGTAAAGGCACATTAACCGACTGCCGAGCGAACACTTGAATGCCAAGACGTCGACGGCGAATCACTGCCGGCAGACGAGAAATCCCTCCGGCCAAAACGCGTAGTCTATTGCGCGCCATCTTCTCGCTAGCTTGTCCGGCGACAGGATCTCTGTCACCTTTGTAGAGAGCGTGGAACATCACACGCAGCTTGGTTCCGTTACCGTCACTCCGATCTTTGGAGACGGCAGGCACAGTGTCGACGACCAGCAATGCTGTGACACCGTCCAGCTGGTCAACACGACCCCCCGTAGCTTTGCCAGCAGCCAATTCGTGCTCCGATAGAGACACGAGAGACACGGAAAACCCTTGGGAGATATCAGGAGCACCCATAGAGTTCGTAAGAGAATCAGTCGTGGGCTGGAAGTACTCGAGGAAACACCACTGCTCGTTGCGTGCCAGCATCCTGGAACGAGTAAAGCAGCTAGTCCGCACTGCCAATTGGTGGCTGTCAGGGATCACACCTTGCGACTGTCTCCCTTCGAGCATTTGCACGACCGAACCATAGATGAACTGACTGCCGTACAGTGCCTTCATGGCGGCATTGTACTCACTCTCGTCCCGTGCACACAGCACCGACACTAGTTCTTGAGGACTGCAGGCGATGCCGCCCACCGACAGCACTTCGTATCCCTCAATTTTAGCACGGGAAGAGAGCTCGAAGCTTTCGTCTTTGGACCGAGAGCCTAGACGAATACACGACGTACGCTTAACCGAGTGCCATGAGTCAGTCGGGTCTGTAAGTGCGCGCTTGAGCGCCACCGCCGAGCTGGCATTATGAACGCGGAACAAGAGTTCCTCTTGCTCGACCAGAACTTTAGGTGACGGATCTTGAGGTGACAAAGAGCTGGTGCATGCGTTCGATGCGTAGCTGGTCGACTGCGTGGGGCTACGTCGCAGAGTCTTGAAAGGCATCGTTGGTATACAGTACTTTCACTTCGGTGGTCGACAAGTTGCACGTTTTTATTTGCTTCTGAAGATTTGCCCCAATCGAAAAATGGAGACGACGGATCACCGCACGAAGGTCGATACCGGTATTCTATTGTTAGCTTCGGCTCCAAACTGAAAGTGAGCAGAGTGAAACGCGGGAGCCGCTTGCCTTGTCCTTGGGTCCACCTTGCTTTTGTGAGGGATTGTGAGGGAACACGAGCGAAGGCGCGAGTGGTGGGACCAGTGGTTCAGTACAAACTTGACTTTTTTTCCAACAGCAGGATTGACGGTGGCCTTTCACCGCTGCACAGGTGGTGGAGATGTAGAGAGCAGAGAGTTCCTCTCTTTTTCGCTGCAAGACTGACTTCGCGAACGCACATCCAGTCAGCGATTGACTTGCGGGAAAAAATATCAAGATCAATTATTACAGTATTCGGTATTGTCAGGTGGTGACCATCGTGTGAACATGTATTCAATTGTTTGCTAAAGTTAGCGCTTTCTTGGACTTGTCCGTGCAGAGAGCGACGTGGGATCCAATTCCATTCCAACACACCAACGGATTTCTGAACTCTTCTTGATCTGTGAAAAAAAGCTTTTTAGGCAACTCGAGCTGCTCGGATTTCTTATCACTGGCGAGTTGCGCTTCAACGGTTTGACCGTATCCGCCTGACCCTTTACGCAGCAACGAGGTAGCAGCGCTCTCTCTCGCGCTGCTGATTTTTTAAAAGAACCTTAAGGATCGACGTAGGAGATCAGAGAATTCCTCTGACCTCACACGACTCCAGCGCAAGCCGCTTCAACTTTGTGGATAACCCTTTCAACTCCAAGAAAGTGAGCGAAGCGGGTCATGCAACGTTAAGAGGCGTAGCGTTTATGCTCATAACGTCGCTTTAAGCAGAATTAACGTCGTCCGGCTTATTGTGAAATTCACCACAAATTTTATCCAAGAGAAATAAACCGGTAAGGTATCGGTATAAGTTTCTGTTTTATTTCTTAAGTACGAGATCTGCGAACCGCTCATTTTCGACAACGGGGAGAAAGCGCGAACACGACACGCAGCGGAGCACCATGCGCGACAACGACGGAGAGAACGGGCCCGCGGGTACGGGAGGGAGCGCCCAAGAAGAAGGCGGTGAGCATGCCGGGGTCCCACCCAGTCTTTCAGCTCACCAATATGAGCGTGACTCAAGCGACAGTTTCAATGCCGCTAGCACTCGTGCGGAGCCGGTCATCGAAAGCGAAGTCGTTGACGCGGCTGGCAGCGGTTCGTGTATTGCGCGTCTATCCAAACTCATTTCTTTATCTAACCGTTTTCATTGTTACGCTATAGATACGTCTCGGAAAGGCGATGTGGGTGCTAGCGGAGGACGTGGAGGGCGTGCTCTCGCTGGTGGAACGGGAAGCAACACCACTGTCGCCAGAAGCGCACCTAGCGCATGTATGGACCAACTTGTGTCGGCTGCGCGTCACGTCGATGAAGAGGTCGCCCGTAAGGACCCCAGTAGTTTCGTACTTGATGTTAACGTTGCTTGCAGCTAACGTTGCTTGAAGCTAACGTTGCTTTTCTTTATTGTTGCTTTACTAACGCTATGATATTGTGTGAATAACACAGCCAAAACGGTGCCAGATTTGGGCGGCAACACAGGTGGTAATGACAAGAGTGTGTGCGAGGGCAGAGACGGAGAGTATCCGACGCTCGGAGAAGCCTCGATAGGCAAAGTTGGCGTTGGTGACGAGGGTGCGCGTCAGGTTGATGAATGGGCCGGTAAAGACGCAGGTTTGTATTGTACTTTTAATAACGTTGCGGAACCTAACGTTGCTCTGATTTAAAGTTTTGTATTAACGTTTCTTATATATTGCGTGGATAACACAGACAATTATGCGACAGGGTTTCGCGACGACGCAGGTGCCGACTTTGAGGTTGTGTGTGAGGGTGCAGACCGCGGGGGCGGAAACGAAGATGACCCGGCAGTCGGAGGTGCCATGAAGGGTAAAGCTGATCGAGATTACGAGGGTGTGTGTGCTGCGAAACTGCTTTTGTCCCTCGCCTATGTTTATCGTTGTGTCGTTAACAGAGCGGTTGTGATTGGTTTGGTTGTGTGCATAGATCCAGGTGCACGACAGTTGTCTGGCGACAAGAGTGATAGCGACAAGCGCGGCAAGTCCGTGATCGAGGGTCCGTCAAGAACGGACGTTGCGAACAAGGGTGGTGCGATTGGTAGCGGGGACGGCAACGGTGAGTTATGCTAAAGGGGATAACGTTTGTGAAATTTTAACGCTGCTTCATGTTAATGTTGCTCTAATCTAACGTTACGTACCCTATGTAATAAATTAGAACCTATGCCAGAGCCCGCAGATGATGCAGCTGGTGGCATGGATGCTGGCGGCATGAGCGGTGCTTCTCCGCGCGCGGAATGTGGATTGCGTTGCCAAGGCAGCCATGGCGACCAAGTGCGCGGAAACGCTGGCAGTCAAGTCAAGGGTAGTGCTTGTTGTGTTTTAAAGTTGCTTTATGTTTGCCGTAATGTGATTAACGTTGCTATTGATAACGTTGCTTCTGGAAGTTGGTACCAAACGAAAGAGCAGTCCATCAAAAGCCAGTCCCCCTTCGCAGTCGACGAAAAAGCTCCGTCTGTACTCGCCCCACGAAGTCGACAGAAGCCCTTCATCGTCTTACGAGGTTGAGGAGAAGAGTGAGACCTGCATTGAAACCAGCAAGAGGGAGGAGAGCAGCGACGAGGAACTACCCCCGCACCTTCAGTTTGCTGAACCCAAGCAACCACGTGTGCGCAGCAGCAGCACGAAGAAGGAGCGAGAGGAAATGATTGCCTCTCACACCAATGTGGAAAATTACGTCGGGCCAGTTCCACGGAGAGGCTACGCAACCTGGAAGTCTTGGGAAGTTGCGTATGCAGACTACTGCCGTACGCAGCGCGTGTACTATCGTGTTCGCACGTCTAAGGACGTTGACGAGTACAATCGGTACGACGCTTCATTTGTGGTCATCAACGCTATATTAATTGTTACGCTGTTATCTAGGAAACACAATACGAACATTACGACAGACCAGTTCCACAAGTTCTTTTTGAACTACCGGTGTAAGCATGGTGTCTTCCAAAAGCGTCGTGGCGTGGGTAAAAGGAACTCCACCGTGAACTTCACCGGATGTCCGGCTCGATTTGACCTTGAGCTCATGAACGTGGCTTCAGCAGGTGAGCTCCCACGTCATTGACTCGTCGTTCACAGTGAGTGGCGCTTGCACAATCATGCGTCTGAAGAAGCGGCCGCTACAGCTGGAATGAAGGATCTGCCAACACGTGGTGCTGTTGTGGACACAGTGGCTGCAATGCATGACAGCAATACCTCGTCCAGCAAAATTGCTGGGTGAGTAGGTTTACGTGCGAAACGCTTTTATGTATTCTTCTAATTCTTTTGAAATTACAAGGCTGTCCTGTCACTTCTCAAGTGGTAAGAAGCTTCGTTAGGAAACTTCAAGGTGGAAGCACCGCTTCAAGGTGGAAGCACCGCTCAATCGCGGCTGACGGTGTTGCTCGATACACTCGCCGAAGAAAAAGACTGCGAGGCCATGGTTATCGAGGATCAAATTGGCGTTACGTGTGGTATAATCATCCAGAGTGCTCAACAGAAATTGGCGTTTGAGAATTGGGGGGACACATTGGCAATGGACTGGACGCACGGTACCAACAACGTCGGGTATTATCTGGGTAACATAGTTTTTCACTGTAAATCGCTTACATGTCATTTCCAGTGGAAACTAAGTAGTTCAATTTGATTATATCTCGTACAGGGAGCCTCGTTGCAACCACGCCGACTGGCCGAGGCTTTCCTGTTCTCGACTTCATGGCGTTAAACCAGAAGGCTGTGACTCTGCAGAAAAGTTTTGAGTATTCAAAAGCAAGAACTCGTCGTGGGTACGAATCCGGACTGTCGTAATTGACAAGGACTTCGTCGAGAAAAGAGTTCTGGCGGACTGCTTTCCTAATGCGAAGGTCCTCCTGTGCCAATTCCATGCCATCACGTATTGGAAAAAGATGTGCCGAAGTGGCTTAGGCTTGCAGGTGGCGGACCAAGACACGGTACAGCGATACTTTGCTACGATGTTGTATAGGTATAAGAGAAATTATTGGTTTATAGCAGGGTTATGTTTTAATATTCTGACTTTGTTACGTTTTCGTTTTGGTAGCCCTTCTCTTTCTGAATTCGATCGAACGTACAAACAGTTCTGTGACTTCTGTGAAAAGAAATGCAAAAACGTACGCTCCTACTTCGACAAAAATTGGAAAGGATGTCAAGAAATGCGGTCGAACTATTTGCGGGACAACTATTTCTCCGCGGGGAGCACTACCACAAATAGGATCGAGTCCAATTGGCACCTTTTGAAACAGTTACTTGGAAAGAAGACTGCTGTGGACCAAGCGGCTGCTGGAATGCTAACCCACCAAACTACCATCACCCGTCAGGTGTTGCAGTCATTCCACAGACATAACTGTAGATCAAGAAATCCAGACACAGTACCCGTGTTTTTGCGCCGAGTCGCAGGTATCTTGAGTGATTATGTTCTAGGGAAAGTTCGTCAGCAATGGGACCTGTTCATGGTTGCATTAAAGGACGCTTCGTGCAAAAAGCGCAGCCGCGAGCCGTGTATGTGGGACATAGTCGCAAACAGAAAGACGTACGCGTGCAATGACATAGACTGGACTTGGACGTGTGCCTTTTCAAAAAGTCAAAAGCTGCCGTGTCAGCATGTGATGTTTGTTTGTCGGGATGGACATGGGTTTGAGGAATTGCCAAGTATGACGATTTGTTCTCGCTGGAGCATGGCTGAGGCCACCAAATTGTATCGTCAAATGGAGGATGGAGCGGCATCAATTGAAGCAGTCACAAGCACAGTCAAGTTGAAGCATATTGCGTTGAAGCACAGTCAAGTTGAAGCATATTGCGTCTTTTCCGCGATTCACCAGCTT